TGATGTGCGAGTCGAAGCTCACCATACTCGAGACTCATCAGTTGTACTCGAAACTCATCAGTTGTACTCGAAAGATTAGCACTCTCCATCTGGAGTTCAAGTGTGTACACCCCATTCGTGGGGAATCCTCGGGTGTACCCATTGTGTGACCCCGGGCCGGCTCTGTCGGAAAATTTGACCTCAACGTTCTTATCATAGAACAGCGGAATTTCACATTTAACCAGGAACGAGGTTTCACTAAAGGGAAGACAGCCGTCAGATCATAGAGACGTCTCACTATGTCTGCTGCTGGCTGCTGGCTTGAACTTGCATGGACTTGCATTTTATCGGACTCGTTCCTCTCAAGATTGTGGAGTGCCAATGATCAGATGTTTACTTATTCTTCTTGGTCTTCTCGCTCATGGCTCATCATACGTGGTGCACAACCGGCGGTTCAGCAGCAGCACGGACTCGACGCTCTCAAACGCCTTTATGAGGCCAAAGGTTTTGAACCCCACCTCCTGCGTGACGTTCGGCGTCGACTCGGGACAAAATCTGCATGTGAGCTTGTCATGCTGTCTCTTCTTGTGCATGCTTGTGACAGTTGTTGATGCATTGCGTTGTGTCTGCATGTAGCTGGCTCAGAACCATGGCGGAGTACACGGTCACCAGTCTCTTACGCTCTGACGGATCAGTGCAAACCACGAGTGGCACAGCGTACAAAATAAGTGGTCTTTACATTTGCATGATCTTGCTTGGTTGTTGCTTGTACATGGTTGTGCATGGTGCCTGTTCCTCTATCAGCTGGATCGGAGCCCGCGACAATCCTTGCCTCTCACTTCGACATGGACATCGATGATTCGAAGCAGCACCCATGGCTCGAATACTCGGTCTGGCAGGAACAGGAGTGGGTGCGGATATACACTCCAGGACAGCCTCAGCGATGGCACCGCGGTGACACTGTACCTGATCTACCTGAAAATTCTTTTCGGGAATGGCAGCGGGTGACTGATCCCAATGAGCATGTCCAGGCGTGGAACATCCGCGACTGGCAGCATCAGGGATACCAGCGTATTCTGTCTCGGATGGAGTCCTTCGCAACTCATTATCCGCATGATCAATCTCTTGCTCAAGTTCGGAACTCCGATGCTGTTCCAATTGAGGAGACGTTCACCTACGCCACCCCGTTTTCCCATGGTGATCGCCAGGCTGCTTCGCAACTCGCTTCAGTCCTCTATGGCGACACTCGTAACGCTCAACGTGGTGATCTCTCGTTCCCGTCTTCTGAGCGGTTTAGGGCTGTGTCTCGCTCCCCTCGCCGTGGTGGATATTTTGATCAACGATAGAGTTTTCTCGCATCAATGCGGACATTGACATGGAAATCATGGCCGCCTCAATGAAGGATCAGTATTTCGGTGATGTCGACTTATTACATCAACGTTTCACCACGCAACTTCGCAAACTTGCTCGTCGCTGGCATGTGCATGGTTCCAGTCTTCTTTCAGATCTGCAACCGGTTTTGACTCAGTTAATGGACACTCATCGAACTAACCTCCAAGATCGTGCTTATTGGTCATCGACATCGTTGCAGCGCACTGTGGCTTCTCTGTCTTCGTGGGTTGTTATCCCGGCGGATCATTTTCCCTCCCGCGCACATGTGATTTGTCGGTCCCTGTTTGCCATACTGATGCGGAAGACATTTTGCTCGGGAGATGTCTTCTCGCTTTGCCGTGAATCCGCAGCATCTTTTCGCTCTGAAGTGGTAACCACGGTACCTTCTCTCCTACTTCAACGATATGCATGGGGACTTCGACTTCAAGCACCGCTGCCCACAGCACGTATCCTTCCAAAGCCGACCAAGGACTGGCAGAAAGCACGACCCATCATTTCATTCTTTCGCACATGGGCAGCTCCCTTCCTCACGGTCTTCGGCGCACTCATATTTGAACTTACCAAAGCTGCCTTTCCCGACATTGCAGGTCAACTTTCAGTACAAGAACTTGTCCAGCAGCTGTGGGAAGCGCTGTCAAAAGCAGATCCCGATGAGTACATCCACCTGGTGTCGCATGACCTGTCAGGCTTCTTCACGTCCATTCCTACGGAACGATTCCACCAGGCGCTGCAAGTGCTTCTCCATCGGTACGATCAAGTTGTTGGCCTTCGCAGTTCCTCTCAATGGTCAGTATACGAAGTAAAGTCAGATCATCGACGCCGTATGTTCAAAGGAAAGTGGCGCCGTCAAACCCAGATCCCTCGAACCTTTCGTGAACAAGATCTCCCGCACCTTCTGGACTTTGTCATTGACAACAGTCACTTCGAGATCAACGGATACTTGTTCCGCCAAGAACGGGGAGTCGCTATGGGATCACCAGCCGCGCCACCGTTGTGCAATTTGGTTGCGACGGTTGAGGATTTCTTCTGGCACCAAACAATGTGTTCTCTGCGGTTTTGCATGCCCGACATTGGTGTGATCTGGCATGAGCGCTACGTCGACAATCGTTTCATTCTGCTTCGTGATTCAGCCCCACACTCACCCGTGCTCATGAATTTTCTTTCCCTGGAATTTTATCGCCCACCAGTGATGCTTGAGGTTCAACATGATGACAAAGTGCTGGGCTATCGATGTGATTCTTCTTCCAGAACTATTACACCACAGCTACCTGATCATCCCTCCCAGATCAAAGGAATTCGGAGTTTGTGAATAACCTGGTGGCGGTACTCAATGTCCTTGCATCCCAAGTTGCGACAGCTCTGGACACCCTGAACTTTGCCCTGATGACTGAGCCGTCGCCGCCACCATTCTATGATCCTTGGAACGATTCGGAGTGACACTTGAGTAGCATGTCGGATAAATGATGCGGTTGTGCTTGCTTTGTATGAGAATCCATGTTGGGTTGTCTTGCTTGGTGGTGTGCGTTCCGTCTCCATTTGTTCGCCGCTTTCCTTTATGACTTCGAGCGGCTTGTCGGGTTGCAATGTTTAATTGTACAGTGTATGGTGCAGTCTGTTCAGTTCAATTCGATTCGGGAGATTGTCTTCGATACCGGAGAGCCGCACCGGAGACGATCCCGCAGCCATCACCGACGGCTCCCAGACCGTCCCGATGATGCGGTTCCCACGTTGCGCCGCCATGCTTACACTCCGAAGTATCCGCCGGCGGTCAAGGCCATGCCGGCTTGCCGACCATCAGGTCTGTCGTATGAACGGTGACGGAGCACCAGCGATAAAAGTACCTCAGTATTTTGCTACATGCATGTCTGCAAGCATCATGTCTTGGCCGTGCCGCAGCCTTACTTGCTTGAGTTGACCTTGCTGTTTGTTCGGTCGCCATGCAGTTGTCAGCCGAGCAGCGCACACGCCGCTCGATCTACAGCACTGACCATTCCCGTGATGAAGAACTACGCAGTCCAGGGCGCTCGTCCAAACGATCTCGGACAGCATCCGCTTCGGCGCCGCGGCGATCTCGACGGCCCTTTACAGTGTTCCCCTCCAAACGTGCTGGCCGTCCATCGCTGTCCCCATCGGCAACTTGCAAACATTACTGTCATGCCATCCTGCGCCATGGGCGGAAATGTCTTTCCCCTTGTGATCGTAGACGACCAGGACACTACCATTGCAGGTGTGCGCGACATCAACGGCGGTGAAGCCTAGGAGTCGGATATTACAAACCTCGTTGCTGTGTTTCACCTTGAGTGGAATGGATTCGAATTTACTCTCCGGGCATTTGGAGACCCGTTCCCGATGATGCTCCAGTACTGGACCCACTCCACGCTTCCACGTATCGGGAGTGGCGCAGGTCATATCGCTTCCAAGTGTACTGGTCCGAAGACAGCACCGGAGGCACAACAACGGATCCCATAGTCACGCCCAGTTCCTATGTGTCTTACCACGTGTGGGAGTACCGCGACTGGCAAACACGAGGGTATCAACGACTTGGAGCTCCTGTACCAGCCATTGGACTCGCGATGCTCGTGAATGCAGACGCCAATTCCTCGGTGGGCTCATCGGTGCCGGATGGGGCGTGGCGAGCCGTGCAGTGCTGCAAAAGTGGTTTCTTGCATTGTGGCAGTTGTTTCGCTTTCACTCATTGTTGTCTGCAGCCGTACACCTATCAATTTGTCTTTCCGGGGTTGCGTTGTCATGGCGTGGCTGGAATGGTGTCCGGACCCTCAACAACCAGATGCCCAGTGGGTCAGGATCTTTCATCCGGGATCATGGACACCACATGAAGAACATGATGCTCCACCTCCTCCGCACACTTACAGAGAATGGAGGGAGTTCTATGCTCCCAACCAGGACTCAGTCGGTGGGCAGGTCCAAGTCACCATGTGGTACAAACGAGACTGGGCCACAGAGCCCGGAGCGGCAACCATGTCACGGATGAGTCAAGGTGAAAACTCGTCCGTCAATTTTCTGCGTTGCACTAGTTTGATCTTGTACTTGCTCGTTCTTGCATTGCCTTGTGTGTGATTGTCTGTGCAGCTTGTATTCATGTCGCCGCCTTGTGGTAGATTTCATTGGTTGTATTTCACCATGTTGGATGAGCCAGCGCAGCGGCCCTTGATGGCAAGTCGTTTGATAGCGCGGTGCAACCTCGGATCATTCAGTCTCTTCACGGAGGGCTATCGGAGAGTCGCTGCCCCTCAAGCTGGTCATGAATTTGATTCCATGTATTTTCCTGATCATCACAGCGTGGCCACGCAGTCTGCGGCATTGAGTATGTCACCGCAGCTGTTAGAAGCGATTCTCAGGTCCTCGGATGCGGCTGATTTCTCTACCGAAGAACTGACTCGTCTCCAAGAGGGGATTTCTCAACAACTGACAGACTCGGGTTGGAGCATGTGATCTTCCTGCAGAAAAAAGAGAAACCTCGCCCCTCATTGAGGGGCGTGTGTGTGCGGAGTGGCAGAATACCCTGCCACCAAAACCTTTTTCCGCTGCAGCAGGGGGCGCAGGGAGTTTCAGCGAGTCCTGCGCCAACGAAGACGCTCGCTGTTAACTCGTGATATCCAGCCTGATCAGCTGGACGTACCTGCAATTGTGATGTTTGTGAATGTCCTTTTGGTCCCCCCCCTGAACCGCCGTTGCTTTTGTGTGCCCCTGTTCAAGTAACTAGAGTGAAGCTGAGTGATGTGCGAGTCGAAGCTCACCATACTCGAGACTCATCAGTTGTACTCGAAACTCATCAGTTGTACTCGAAAGATTAGCACTCTCCATCTGGAGTTCAAGTGTGTTTGTATAGTGCCCACCCCATCAAACCCCATCAACCCTGTGCCACCCGAAAATTCGGGTTAGGATGCCACTTCCTGTGAGTGGCCCAGGGAGTCCCCTTCAAAATAGGTCTGTGTTTGTGTGTTTGTGTGTTTTGGGGGGATGGGAATCCGACTTTGGCATAGGCCGGTTTCCCGCGTAGAAACACGATGACAACAAAGCATGGGTGAGTGGAAGTGGTTGGTGAACCGGCGAAACGGTTCTCCGTGCAAAAAACGGTCCACCGGCAACGCCAAAAGTTTCGCGGCGCTACGTGTGAAGAAAAATCGGTGCCTCCTGTTGTGGGGCAGCCATCACCGAATGTGCCGGATGTGCCGGATTCACCTGCCCTTCCCCTTGGTTTCCTTCCAACATGGTTCTCGTTGGGAAACCTTATTTACACTTTTGCTTGTTGCGGTTTAGTGGTGGAAATCCAACCACTAAACTGCTAAAATTTAGACTTTTGCTCCCCTTCCAACGTCAACCAAGCCAAGGATTTGTTTTTGGGGAAAGAGGGAGAGGAGTTACGGCCTTGGTTTCCTACTCGTCCCTACCAGCCCGCCTTTTGACCACCTATACGCGTAAATGTGTCAAACTTGGGGTTGTCTTCCTTCTGGTTCCCTTCAACCCCTTCCCCCCCCAAAAAAAAAGAAGAAGACGGTATCCTGAGCACCTACTCGCTGACTCAATGAATCTTCAGACAATCCAAGGGTAGCCTCGAAGGCCACTTCGACCTGGCCAGGCTTCGGCGGACGAGCTGGGACCCCTGCCGGCGAAGGAGCGGACGACGCTCACCACGCCGGGAGCCTGGGCGACGGGAGCGACGGCGGTGCTGGTTGAAGATCTGGCCATGGGGCAGAACCTATGGCGATGCCATTTGTGGATGAACATCCATTTGCCACCTATTTTACATGTTCACCAGGGGTTTCCTGAATTTTGACCCACGGCCATTTGTTCCTCACTCCGAGTTGGGGACTTGATATGGGAGGCGCGCTTTCTGAGCTCATGGACGCTAGACTTTTTGGGAAGACCGGTTTAGTCGTGAAGAGAAAAGTTTGGACTTTTTTCGGGCCAGCCACGGAAGTGTGAGGAGAATCAACTTAGGAAAGTCAATTTGAACATCGACGTTCAATACTGTGGGATCTGCAAAACCTCAAAGAGAACCTAGGAATTGGATCCCCAAAAAAAGGAGCTACGTCAGGGCGCCAATCGCTTTGTTTTGGCCCCGATTCGATCAGTGAGCAGGCAAAGATGTGTTCCGGGTCAACTCTGGGGTATGCCAACCGCAGACTTTTTCAGATGCTGTTCATGGGTGTGTCATTTTGTTGAGCGTACCCGTGTTGGGCTTGGTTTAAAGAGAAACCAAAGGAACACTTCACTTATTGCGGGTCCCTCGCAAAAAGATAGGCCCATAGTTGTTGACCCTAAACATGTTAAAACACTCTTTTGCAGGCAAAGCATACTCCCAGAGTGGACCAAGCTTTTGGAGAGATTCTCAAAAGTTGGTCAATGGAGCATAGAACGGGTCCCTTTGAGCGGTTGCATGTTGAGGGGTCCTCAAAAAGACAATGCCATTTCAATGTGTCCTTCCACATGTTCCCCATACAGCTTGGGATGTGGGATCGCTATGACTATTCCGACCGTTCGCCAGCCAGACGTACAACTCAAGTTAAATCAACTAGTTTGCACAAGAAGTGCAAGTTGATGTGCATGGAGAATCTGCTCTGATTTCCAGACCCTTTGGCTGAGAAATATAACATGTGACTGAATTCAGACCGGGTCTAGACGGATCACACATGAATTTGTGTCCACACCTTGCACCAACCTGCGTATAACTGCCGAGGGGAACCCATTCACCCTCGACCAAAGCTTTCCTCGGGAGCCACGGTCCTTTGCCAAAACGTCAGGCCTTGTCCACGTGATCCTGTTGTTGGAAGAATGGATTGAATCCTTTAAAATGGAAAGGCCCGTGTTGAAAAGCTACGCGTATGAGCCCAAATACAGCCTTATTAATGGGTTTAACAAGGGTTCCCTTCCCCTCCTAGGGAAGTGCAGCGTTGGAACTTGTTGGGATCGCAAGCCTCATGTTTTGCTTGCTGCTGCAAAGGGTGGGGAATGTCAGGGTGTTGGGAATGAACCTAAGGTATCGCATAAAGGAAACCATAGGGATTTTATCGGGGTCATGTTCCCTCGTTCCCTGCTGAGAACCAGCAAGTTTGTCATGGGAACTTGCTTGGGAGTTTCTCAACGCTTGCTCCCACCCAGAGGTTTTTAAGTGTCTAGTTCGTTTAGTGGGCATCTAGAGGCTCAACCAAGAGTTCAGCTTTTAGAAGGGGATCTGAGGACGGAATTCGGACCCCGTTTGGGTTTTTAAGGAGAGCCCGCAAGGGAGCCACCAACCACTTCAGCCGAGCCTTACGAGGCCTGTCACCGAGCTGCCGGACAAGGCCAGAGCTCGACTTGAGTCAGAACTTGGACTCGATAATATTAGTTATGTTCTCCTGTTGGTTTTAAAGGGGATGTGTCACTACTGGAACTATATTTTGGTCCAGGGACTGGAATTTCGTTGCTTCCCCCGCTGCTTATCTTTGGACCATCGAATAAACAGCAAGTGTGAGCTTGTATGAGCCAACAGTCGACGTAAGACAGTGTGCATTTGACAGGTTTTCCGGCTTTCCAGGTTGCGCGACATGGCCAAGGCAAGAACATGGTTGAGTTCCCCTCTTGGCCTGTTGCTTTAGGGGAAAAAGCCCATGTGGGTAGGGCGGTGGGCGGTATTGCCTTGATGTGCTCGCGAATAGTGGGGCTTTCATAGGTTTCCTGGGCTTAGCCTCAGCACGGATCCAAATCCTTGGTTTCGCAAGCAGGTTCTTGGATGTCCTTGCGGAACCCTGAAGTCTCCAGGGCGAGACGCGTGTTCCATGTTGGGTGGATTTCAACATCACCTGGCCATGAGTCAAAACCCCGGTTAGCCCCCAGTGAACATCCCAATCCCCACTGGAATAGGTCCTAAAATGGGTGGTGAATTCACCTACCCCTAAATGGGATCGATCCCATTGGTTTTGAACCACGGCCACCTCTTGGGGACCCTGTTGTCCAACGATGGAGGTGGACAGTGTAAGATGACTTTTCCCTAATTCTCCAGCTGAGCCATCATCAAAACCCAGTCCCAACATTTCTTGGTGGCTCCCAGCCATCCGGTTCCTTAGCTTTTTAGCTTTTTAGCCTTTTGGATTTTTGGCTTTTTAGCGTTCAGTGGTTGGTGTTCTTCCATTTCGCCCACGAGAGGTTAGTCGCTCTCGCGGGGGATCGGTTTGGACAGCTCAGATTCTCTCGATCCGCGGCTTCGCGGAGAGAGAGCTGCCAGGAAGAGATCACTGCCGCGCAGGCGGAGAGGAAGCCCATCAAGGCGGGGCGGGTCGGAGGTTTTTTCAGCGGGTAATGCGGATTAGGGGATTGTAGGGACTAGGTACCCCAGTGCCAACTATTACCAACTTTTTGTCCCCTACTACAATAGACTACAGAAAAAGGGTACCCTTATTCGAACCGCTCTGCTGGAGGACCTGGCAGGGTTTTGGGAATGAACCAAGGGGTTGCCAGGAAAGCATAGGGGATGCTTTTTTTTTCTGGGGTCATTCTAACTAATTCCCTGAGAGCCAGCAAGAAAAAGGGGGTGTCCCCTTTGCCTCATCCCAGTTGAGCGGCGTCTTGTGCCCCTGTTTGGTGTGTTCTCCATGGAAGCTGGTCCAGTCGTCCATAGATGGGAACTTCCTACCCAAGTCTTTGGGAATTCTCCAAAGTGCGAGCTGTGGCCATTGGGCATAGCTTGTTGGAGAAGCCATACTGGGGAGCGCATCGGGAAACCCAGACACCAGCTTGGAGGGCTTCCGGAACCCCAAGCCCCTGCCAAATGGCACTCGAATTTTCCCAGGGAAGAGGAGCGCAGAAGGCTTCTGACCTTTCTTCGGGTCATGGGCTTGCTATTCTGGTCTCCCTACCGCCATCCACCAGTTGGTCCCCGAATCTTCGCTGAAACCAATGGAGCAACAGTCAATATTCACCGTCATCGACTGCTGCCAAGGCAATCAGTGGGTACACCAACCAAATTGCCACTAGGGATTGGCGCCTTTTTTCTTTTCAAGACCCCGCCGCTCAGCACAAATGGCTGTTCTCGGCAATTTGGTTGAACTGACCACCCGCGGTTGGCTCAGGGCCGGTTCGGTTAAACTGGCCGTCCGCCGCTGACCAAGCCGTGAGTTGGTCAAGCTGCAGTTTGCCAAGGGCGATTCGGTTAAACTGGCCGGTCGATTCGGGCAAACTGTCGCCTACGGCAGGTTAACCGTCCAGGAGCTCATGGGCTGTCTGGCTGGTTAGATCTATGCCACGCAGAAATTGCTGAGAAGTCAAAGCTTAACGATTGAAATCCGAGGCTGATGTAACAAGCCCACGTCCGGTGCCCAAAATCACGTGGAATCCACCCATTGGATTCGGATTCCTTTCCTTCGTTGCGCGCTTTGAGCTACGCCCACTAATTAGACCTGCTCAAAAGCGCGTTTCTATCCCTCCAGCCATAGACGCAATGAGGGCGAAGTCAACGTCCATGTTCACTGCGATGCAAACAAGACTCGTGTGCCTCCCTGTCAAGCCAGCAGAAGCCGGCTCTCGTGACGTGTTTTCCATAAGAGAATGGTCATTTGATCAGATCGAAGGACAGAACGTAATGCTACCGTTTCTTGGATGGGAAGATCCGACTTTGCAAACCCTAAGCCCACAAACCAAAGAATCCTTCCTAATTAGAGGGTTTTCAGGACTTAACACTCATAGCCACACAAAGGGTCCCCACACACATACACACACACACACACACAGTTTTCAACGTGATGTATTGGACACCTCTTTTGGGTCAATATAAATTTGGGTGATGCTTAAGGGAAATACCGGGAGCCCCCCCCATTGATTTGTTCAAACCCATGAATCCCTGGTATGAATTCAAACCTTGAGGGAGACTCCCCGATTTCTTTCTGGTCCCCCTTCTCAGGGTGCCTTGCAAACCTCTCTTCTTTCCATCCAGCTCATACATATATATATATATATACATACATATAGTTGTTTATTTGTTTCTTGTTTGCAGACCCCGTTTGAGCATGTCGTTTTACCGGTGAATTTTTGAGCATGTTTGTTGCTCGTTTCCATGGGGAAACTCAACTGGACACCACGAGTTCTGGCGGCTTCCGCTCACGTGGAGTTCCGCGTTTTTCAGGGCATCCCCGCCGTGGAGTTCCGGGCGCGCTGCGACCTCATCTTCGAGAAGTACGACAAGGCGAGCTTCCGGCGAGCGGCAAGCGGCGAGTTAGCGACGAGCGAGTTTCCGGCGAGTCGAGGTCTATTCATGGTTGTTGTTGGGACATATTAGAAACATGTTTTTGCTTAGTGTGGTTTAGTGGGAAATCTCCACTTAGCTGCTAAAATGTTAGTTTTTGCGCCCCTTCCAACGTCAACCAAGTATTGTCGCTTGGGTTCACCCGTTTTTCTTGCGGGTTGTCGTGGTTAAGGCAAACCAAGAGGAGAACTTTCTTGAGGGTTCCCTTGTCGTGGTGAGGTTTAAGGCAACTACGACAAGGGAACCCTCAACCACGTCAAGGGAACCCTCTTTTTTGGGGGACACAGTTTATTGGTCACTTGGGTTCACCCGTCTTTCTTGCGGGTTCCCTTGGTCAAGGCAAACCAAAAGGAGAACCGCCCGGTCCCCCAAAAAAGACACACCAGGCCCACTTAGCTTTTTACGAGCTCAGATATGATGAAGACCTGTGACCTGGTGATTGCCCAGCGAGTCGCACTGAGCGTCGAATTGTCGAGTCCGGATGGCGGGGGTGCTGTTGCATCATTGGCATGCGTGGAGACAAACATAGACAAACTAGGTCCCCCTGTAGTGCCCTGCAAACCAACTTTTTTTGGGGGGAGGGTTCCCCAAAACAGACTAAAGAAAAAAGGGTACCCTGATTCTAACCTCTCTACTGGAGGACCTAGTAAACCATGGTGTGTTTTTTTTGTTTTTTCTCCGGGATCCTGCGCGGTGCCAACCACCTGGTATCACGTTGAGCAGGTATTTCTTCAAACCGTCCGCCTGAGGCCGGGGTTGGATATGTAAGTCACCGGCTTGATGTGCTCATTTTTTTTCTGTCGCTGGCATGGACCTCGGTCCCCCAGTAGTGCCAACTTTTACCAACTTTTTTGGTTGGGAGGGTTCCCCTACTAAAATAGACTGCAGAAAAAGGGTACCCTTATTCTAGCCTCTCTACTCGAGAACCTAGATGTGAAAGCAAGCGACTTGCAACTTGCGCAAATGCTTTCACGAAGCAGGGGCTGCCAATCGAAGGGATGCGCCCAACATACCATCACAAGCCACATCAGACCACATCCCTCGCAGAAAGCCTTGGTTTGACTGCCCTCAAAGAAATCCATGGTCAACATTCCGCAAAACCGTTTGACCCGCGCCGCGCCGGGTCAAACTGACTCGAAATTCGGCAGGACAAGGATGAGGTCCTTTCCTTCGAGGACCGAATCGACAGAAACTCGATCCGACCCTTTGGCATATTGTCAAAACAGAGGATTGGGACCCGCGAGATTGTGGCGTTACTTCTGGCCTCCCTGCGAATTTGAAAACATGCCCGAAGCGCAGAAACCCTGGTTCAGATCAATGTCATGTGCAAAGAAGTCCTTTCCCTGAAAAGTGATGATTTCTTGGTTGACGTTGTTGGACCTTTTGGCTTGTTGCACCTGTTGGTTCCTTGAGATGTCCCAAAAGTGATCGCCTTTTGCTAGGTCCTTTGGATCATCGTGCCTCAAGACACGTGGATGGTTTTTGGTTGCAGAGGTTGGAGCACCAACGGCGAGCCTTCGCACTTCTGAACGCAACTTGTCGCGTCGGTTTTAGTCCTCCGTCCCAGTCTCCCGGTCTCCCAGTCCCGAAAGGAGCTGCGGCTTTGGGATAGGTCGCTGGAAGCTCAAAGCCGCATGACGTATCAGGAACAGCCTTGAGAAGCATCCATGCGCAACTCGGATAGGTGTTTTTCGTTTATCAGGGCAGGCATGCCCTTATTTGTTGCGGATCATGGGGATGTCGTGAAATCGGCAAAGGACTCGATTTGGGATTGGGTATAAAAAGGGAAGCCAAGCTAGCGATCCCACAAATGTGTGGCTCCATCTTACTTTTTTCGAGACATCCTCCTCAGTAGTTCGCCTTGGGGGAAATGTCAATCGAAAGAGGAACCACGTCTGATTAGTAAAGTGCTCCAAGCAAATCCGAAGTAACTTAATCAGGAGCAGGCTGGGGAACGTCATCCCAAAGCGGAACGTCGCAAAAGGTTATGGGTCTGTCTTTCTTGGAGGGCACACAAAGGAACCCGACCATTTTGGTGTTGATATCCGATCCCGGCTTCGGGGCGATCCGCTTGCAGACACCGTTCCGGAGCTGTGTTTCTCTTTCTTTGTGCCAAGTGGCGTCGCAAGAAAATGCCCAAGAGTTCCACTCTGTTGGCGTTACATGCTTGTTTGTTGCTGTCTTTCTTTCTTTTGTGTCTGTCTTTAAATCTTATCGATTTATTTTGTTTTTCTGTCTTTCTGTCTTTCTTTATTTATTTATTTCTTTCTTTCTTTCGTTCTTTCGTTCTTTCTTTCTTTCTTTCTTTCTTTCTTTCTTTCTTTCTTTCTTTCTTTCTTTCTTTCTTTCTTTCGTTTTTTCTTTCTTTGTTTATTTCATTGATTATTGCTTTCTTTTGTCTGTATGGTTGCGCCGTGTTGGGTTGGTCTCATGTTGTGTTGTGTTGTGTTGTGTTGTGTTGTGTTGTGTTGTGTTGTGTTGTGTTGTGTTGTGTTGTGTTGTGTGTTGTGTTGTGTTGTGTTGTGTTGTGTTGTGTTGTGTTGTGTTGTGTTGTGTTGTGTTGTGTTGTGTTGTGTTGTGTTGTGTTGTGTTGTGTTGTGTTGTGTTGTGTTGTGTTGTGTGTCATTGTGGTGTGCTTTGCTGTGCTGTGATTTGCTGTGTGTCTTGTTCTTTTTGCTACTGTTCTTTTGTTACACGTGCTTGTTTTGTGGTTTTGTTGTTGCATTTTGGTTCTGTTCTTGTTTTTTGTTTCTGTGGGGGTTTTGTTGCGTTTTGGTTTCTTTGCTGGATGGTGCCCTATGGTTCTAGGGCTACCTTCCGCATTCTTTCCAGGGATCTCTTTTCAGGAAACCATCAAAACTCCAGGGGAAACGATTTGCCGGTTTTTGAAAGAACAATGGTTGAAAAGAATGGACAAGGAATCAATCCCCAGAATGGTTGTGTTTCTTCAGGAGCTGTGCTGCCTCATGGAGGCGGGGGGCCGGCGCATCGAGGAGTACGACGCCTACGCCTCGCTGTGCCAACGCTTGGACTGCGACGCCCGCGTGGGGCTCACCCGCAAGGAGCCGAGGGCATCGATTCGGGCGCATCGGAAGAAGCCGACGAAGCGCGCAATCGGCGAATGTCTGTCTCATAAAACCTGACTGGGGCGTAGAAGACCATTCTCCTCAAAAAAGAGGAGGACATAGTTTCACAGAGTCGTCTAGGATCATGACTTAGTTTGGTTTTAAAGTACCCTTCAAGCCCCCCCACGTTCTGATGTTTTATGCTCTTCAGTGTTCCTTGCAAATGAATGGACGAAACCCCCCGCTGGGATCCCGATGAGGGCTCTCAAATGTTTTTGCGACGGGGCTGAGCCTGGCTCTGGCAGGTCTTTATCGAAGGGCGCCTTCCAAAATCCAGCAATGGGCTTGGCCAGTTGCGTGGTTTCCTTCCATTTGCTTAAGACGATGGTGTATTCGGTGACAATTGACTGTTGGTTGGGTAAACCAGCATCGAGACCCTTCTGTTTTTGCCCAGCTGATTCCTTAGGGTCTATACCTGACACAGTGGCTATTTTGTCGCGAGGCTGTGACACCTTGGCCCATGCCCAGGTTGCCCTGTTCATTTGTGTACGGGGTGGTCCTGGTTAGACAGTACGTTGGATACAATCTATGGGGCTCTGCTCCAAAAGTGGTTCTGATTTCCTCTAAGAAGGACATCCAGTCAACACAAGGAAGAAGAAAAAAGAGAGGAGTCGCCTGTTGAGCAGGAGATTCTTATAACGGAGTCTTCTTCAAGTTCTTCAATGTCTCCAGAAGGAGTTCATATCTCAGCTGCAGGCCAAATAGGAGGCCAAAAAGTTGTGTAAGTAGTAAGGACTCTCTTGGTGTGCCACTCCGGGCTGGGCAAAGAGTCGCCAGGATGTGTACAAACTCTTTGAGAAGGCGCCCCAGGCAGTCTGGGAAGAGGCGCGAAGCTCCGATCGATTCCAAAGAACCGGGCATCAGTCGATTCAAGAAGCGCGCTTGCGAGGTGTGTCCCCGACCCTCCGGGGCATTCCTTCCGTTTTCCTTTGTTTTTTTTGTTTGGGGGGGGAGGGGCTCTTTTTACAACCAGCGGCCAAAAGAAGTTGAAGGGCGCCATGATTCTTTTGCTTCTGAGGAAATCCGCTGGGGAAATCCCTTATGTCGGTTAACCCATCGTCCTTTGTTCCCATCGCTCTTGCTTGAAAGATCAACCCAGGTGCTCGTTTTTTGTTTTTGCAGTGAGAGGTGAAGATGTAGCCTACCCTACTCCTCTTTTGTTTGGTGGGTTCCGCTCAAAATGAGACCTTCAAGCCCAAAGATGGGGTCGCTTAGCAATTTGGCTCTAACTTGGCTCGGGCTCAACAAAATCTGGTTGATTTATAGGGTGTTTCTCTACGCAATCACGGATCCCGGTTGAAACGAGGCAGTACACACTACGATTTTTGGCTTTCTCGTCATGCTGAATCACTGGGCAGATGCTTTGCCATGCCTGGACCAGGTTGGCTTGTCTTGGTTCTAAACCGCCAAGATGTGTTCTGTCCGCCCCCAACAAAAAAAGAAACAAGTAGACACATTGAACATATAAACAAAAGGTGTTCGGCATTGGGCTACTCCCTAATCTGGGTGGAACCCAAAAAGGAGATTCTGCCAAAACTGATGTGCTTGCCGGGAATCGACTTGACGGTATTTCAAAGGAAGCAGCTCCGGCTGGAACCTTGCCAACCGCAACACGCGCCCATCAAGTTGAGGCGACCAACCTGTATATAGAGTACTGCGGTATTTGTTGTATTTAAAGCCGTACGTGTGTAATTACGTACCTACGTACCTACATACCTGCATACCTTGAAACCTACATGATATTGAACACTATTACATTACATTACCTTAAATGTAACTTCATTGTATTGTACAACATTATATACACTACATGTACATCACAGTTTCATATTGCATTACAACATTACATGTATTACATGCGTTACATACATGACCTGCATTACATGCATTACATACGCTACGTACGTTACATACATTGTGTAGAGCATCATGCATTGCATACAGTACTATACATTGCATACATGACGTACATCCCATACATCACATACGTTGCATACACTACATGCTATGTATACATTGCATGCAGTAAATTCGTTACATTACATCACACACAGTACACATGTTTCATATATTACATACATTACACATACGTACATGCATCACACGCATCCGTCCATTCATCCCATCCATCCATCCATCCATCCATCCATCCATCCATCCATTCATCCATCCATCCATCCATCCATCCATCCATCCATCCATCCATCCATCCATTATGATATTACGTGATATGTCTACATTATATACACATTCATAACAATATGCAATGCATTGTTTATACTACAATCTATATTTACATGCATCTGTGCACACATGCAAAACCCAGCAGCGCATAGTGCGCATGTCTCGCCCTTAAAATTTCCGCATGCGATGGCGGAACAGGTGTACCGATCTATCAACCCGCTGGCGCAAATGGTGAAGAAGGGTGCGGACAGGCGGGAGGGCGCCACGCTGGCGTGGCAGTTTCGGTGGGTTTCATGGACTTTCCTTTGTTGCATGTTGCTTGGCTGTTAGGACTTTAACTTTTTGCCAACTCATGGGTTTTCCGAATTAAACCACTAAAAGTTAAACTTTTAGCAGGGGAGCAGAAAGCAAACCGAGTTTCCTTATTCCATTTGTTCTCTTTTTGTATTTGCGTGTTGGTAGATTTTTTGTTTGCTATTTGTATGTTAGTACTTGTACTCCAGGTGTTCTCTTTATTGCAGGTGCCTGCGTGTTGATTTGTTTTCCAGCTCTTTGCTGTGTTGTGTGTTGCTTGTGTTGTTTGGTGTGTTTGTGTGTTGTGTCAAGTCAGTTGGCTGGACTGATCCCAGAACTCAGATGTGGTGTGTTTGTGTGTGGGTTGCTTTGTTTTGCTTCCACTTGGTTTGCCGTGTCTCTTTAGATTTGTTTTGTTGTTTCTGTTGTTTCTATTGTTGTGGATTGTGTTGTGTTGCCTGGTTGGTTCTGTTCTGTTCCTTGATTCCATAGGCTGTCCTTGATGGAGAGCGAACATAGCAATGCACTGCATGGTTGTCCTTGAAGCCTCAAGTTGCTTCAGAGATCGTCTTTGAGATCTTATTTTTGCAAACAACCATTCCCACGAGAACGCGTAGGACTCATATGACCTGTATGGGAAAAAGTATGTTGCCCGCCCGAAAAGTGTAGCATTCCTGGAGGTAAACTCTGTTGCCCAGCGCCCTGTTTTCATTTTTTTGGCCTTTACACTGAACCAAGCAAAAACGATGCCCATTTTTTCCCAGGCCGCCCATTTTTTCCCAGGCCACTGGGCATCTGAGCAAAACTTGTGGGAAAGGGAGCCGTCTGCGTCTATTTCAGGTTTTGCTCCGAATCCAGCGGCAGGCTACCTGACACATTCCTGGAGCGCCCCATCACAGAGTTCCTCTTCGAGGATGAGGAGAGAATGGCTAAGAACTCCTTATTCTTGACTGCTATTGGGTTGGATCTTTAGACTTGAAATTTTTGGGAAATACAGGTGTTTTCCACTAAACCCACAAAAAGTTAAACCTTTTGCAGGGGGTCAACAGCAATCAAGTATTGATGAACAGAACTGGTAGAAATGATAATCGTCCCCTAATCAATATTCACAGCTAAGGACAAGACCACTACAACGGCGTATCCTTGTGGTTCCCTGCCTTTTCCCGAAAACCCATTGGAGGCGCTTCTTCGTAGATTTTGCCTCTTCTCCTCACACCCAGTTGCTGCTTGCTGTTGCAGTAGGAATATTTCCGTAACCCGGGTTAAATACAAAAGCAATATACAAATTACATAAATTGAATTTCCGTATTCCCAACTCGAAAATCACAAGCTTTCAATTCCAAAATAACATATAAAATGTGTTTCCACAATTCCAGCTCACAAGCCGAGCTCATATTTGAAAAAGAATGGGGAAATCCATTAATTTTCGTATAAATATATATCAGTTCTGTTTGGGCCATGGCGAGCCAAAAGTGTGGGAGTCTGGCGAATCCACGGCCGTGACCCGGCCGTACCCAGTACGCGGCATTTTTTCTGGTTCGCTCTCGTGGGCCCACGGTTTGGCTCTTTGCGCCTTCTCGACTGGGCTCAACAGGTTGTAGGTGAAAGGGTGGCAACTCACTTCCGATAGTTCAACACTTCCATCTTTTTGGGTCACTTCCTAGTTCTGGACTTTAATCTTTTTTGGCCCCATTTTAGCTCGGCTCGAGAGCGAGACATCCGGAGCCTTTTAGCTGTTGAGATCCTTGTGTTCAGTGGTAGTTTCCATTCACTCCACTAAAAGTGAAACCGTAGTGGTAGACAAGTCGGGCCACAGAAGGCCTTGGAAACCCTGAACGGCCTGAAGAGGCCTTCGTAGGCACGAGTGTCTCGAAGGTTTGCGGGCGGAGGTGAGCAATCAATCGGAATCTCAAGTTGTGGCCATCAAAAAAAGGAACCTTGAACATGTTGCACATGCTCAACAAGGGAAGGGTCCTTCGGAACATTCCCCCACCAAAAGGAGACTCTAACCTTGGCAACGAAGAAGCGGTAAGTTTGTTTGCACCTGGCCTCACCAGGACCAAACCAAGTCCCTGGCTCGCATTTGGAACCGTTGGGACGTCTTTCAGCTAACCCGCGGAAGGGAGACGTGGTTTGACACGCGGCCAGAGGGAAACGGTTCTGGCTAAAAGGCGCTGTGTGCAAGAAGAAACCAAGTCATGCATTTGATAAGGACCTCTGTCCTTTGTCCACTATACCACCATATAGAAGATATGAACCTGTCTTTATGTACTGTTTTCATTCAGGTGGCGTGGTGGAAGCTCTCTTTCTCTGGACAAAATGTTTCGCAAAATCGGGTTGGTGTGACAGCCTTTGGCTCAAACCGATCTCCGGAGAAAAGAAAAGGCGAGGATGTCCATGCAGGCGCAGATGCTCAGTGAAGCCATGCAGCTCGGACGAGGTCTCGGATCGCTGAGTGCCCTAGTGCCTCAAAACAGAGGGCCCAGCAAATCAACTAGGTCCCCCAGCTAGGTGCCCTTGTACCAATATTTTTTGGGGAGGGTGCCCATGCTAGTATAGACTAGCAAATCAAGGTGGTTTGCTGCTGGTACGCTCCCTCAGACTAACATGGAAACTCCCAGAAGGCCTCTCATGGAACCAAGTCTTCCAAAGGGGTCCTGGGGAGGGTATCCTTTTAAAAGAAAAGAGTGGCCTCCAAATATATATATATACATGTATTCCTGCAAATGCAAACACACTGGCACGGACACAGCACACGCACACAGACACGGACACAGAAACAGGCACAGGCACAGGCACAAACACACAAACACACAAACACAGACACAGACACAGACACAGACACAGACACAGACACAGACACAGACACAGACACACACACACACACACACACACACACACCCACACACCCACACACCCACACACCCACACACCCACACACCCACCCACCCACCCACACACCCACACACCCACACACCCACCCACCCACCCACGCCCACGCCCACGCGCACGCGCACGCGCGCACCCGCACGCGCACGCGCGCCCGCGCACGCGCGCACGCGCACGCGCGCACGCGCACGCGCACGCGCACGCGCACGCGCACGCACACGCACACGCACACGCATACGCACACGCACACGCACACGCACACACATACGCACATATGCACATACCTGCATACATACATACATACGTACGTCGTACGTACATACATACATACATACATACATACATACATACATACATACATACATACATACATACATACATACATACATACATACATACATACATACATACATACATACATACATACATTCATACATTCATACATTCATACATTCATACATTCATACATTCATACATTCATACATTCATACATTCATACATTCATACATTCATACATTCATACATTCATACATTCATACATTCATACATACATACATTCATACATTCATACATTCATACATTCATACATACATACATACATACATACATGCGCAGGGAAAGACAGAGAAAGAGAGAGATAGAGAGAGAGAGAGAGGGAGAGAGCGAGAGGGAGAGAGAGAGAGAGAGATAGAGAGAGAGAGAGAGGGAGAGAGCGAGAGGGACAGAGAGAGAGAGAGAGAAAAGGAGAGAGAGAGAGAGAGAGAGAGAGACAGAGAGAGAGCGCGAGAGAGGGAGAGAGAGGCAAACAAACACAAACAATCAAGTACGCAAACACACAAACACGCACGCACACACACAGACAAAACAACAACTGTGAAACACAAACTTACCCATGTGGGGGGTCTGCACTAGTTTGACTGTTTGCATTCCATTTGTTATGGAGCAGCAGACTTGAGCCTAGGTACTGTACCTTTTGGAAAATTGACCAACTCTGCGTGCAACTCCGGTACTCAAAAAATGGAGCCTGCGACTGCTCTCGGGCACACATGTGTGCAGGCTAGCACCTGCGAGGGTGAAGGGGAAACCAACCGCCCGTTTTTGTGTTTTTATTCACTTTGTTGGAGTCGTCTCCAAAGCGCAGGCTATGAGTTCTCGGGGTAGCCGTTCCCATCTTTCCAGAAAAATGGTGTGGTTGAGAAGAGCCTCTTTAAAAAAGTACTCGGGTAATCAAAAGGTCCGATTATGGGGTGACAGTTCGGGAAACCACCAACAAGGATTTGAGAAAGTCACCACATGTGAAAGTTATTTTGGGGCCGAACAGAATTTTGATCAAAGCCCTTCCCAGGCCAAGGGTCGAAAAGACCATGGTGAAATCCCTGACCCCCCTGCGCGGGGTCTAGAAACAAATCGGCAACCAGAGAAAGGTGCCCCTGTTTTGTTTGGTCGCGACCGCCGTCTGTGAAGATGTTCATGATCAATCCGCAAAAATCCTTCTGTCAGAGCGGCATTTTGGGATTGTGATTGTATGAGGGGTAGTGGTTCCCTCAGTGCCCGGGAAGCTTGTCTTCAACTCGGGTTGGCCTTCTGGTGGTAGCGGATGCAAGTCCCACTCAGGGCACTTACCAAAGCAAGCTGGTACATATATGCCCCTAGGTCCCCCAGCCAGGTGCCCTTTGACCAACTTTTTTGGGGGAGGGTTCCCCTAAAATAGACTACAGAAAAAAATAGGGTACCCTTATTCTAACCTCTCTACTGGAGGACCTAGCCTATATATACTGGCTGTGTTTATTGAGTTTGAAGGTGAATGGTTCCAAGCAAATCCTGGCGTATCCCCGCTTCCTTCTTACCCCTTATAGAGTAGCTATATGATCGTTGGAGGTTGTAGCCTCCAACGATCATAGATGGTTTTGGAAGTGCACTTTCCTTTTGGGAAGCCCCCAGAATCCGCTTCCATGATTGTTGAAAGGCATAGATAGGGTGTTTCTCGCCATGGCGGGCAAGCCCCTTTTGTGCGATATTTAAAAGAACCCCCGCCCAAAAAAAAGGCCACCCGCCATTTTAGAGGGCTTTTGCAGGGAGCCGTCTAAAAGGCATATGGCTGTGGGTCAAAACCAATGGGATCCCATTTGGGGGTAGGTGAATTCACCACTGTTAGGCTTTATTTTAGTGGGGATTGGGAGTTTCACTGGGGGCTTTTGACCCATGGCCATCTTTCCTGGACCGATTCCTGTTTTGAGAACCCTTAAATCCCCCGCTTGGCCCTGTTTTCCGCACTCGCGCGCCACGGGGCGGCGGCACCGGGGCCTCCGAGGTATGGCCTCTTCTTGCTGAGCCGCCGCGGCAAAGAGGAGCTGGCGGAGGTGGTGAAGGCGTCGAGGAAGAGCCAGCGGCTTGGCGCTAGCCTTGTTTTGTCCAATGGTTGTGAAGGGCATCTGAATTACTCGGTCTTTTTTCAAGTGCCCGTAGCTTTTACGGTTCGTTTTGTAGTTTGTTGGGGAGGGGTTCTAAAAGTCCAATCCCTGTGCCGAAGTACGTGGACCCTTGAAAATTGCGGTCTTCCTTTGGGATGATCTTGGAACAAAGCTGAAAAGGATATCCGCTAATGTCAACCCCGGAGTAATAAACCCCTGGTTGATTAATGGGGGGGGGTGTCCCCTTTTAGTGGGGATTCATCAATTTTGGAGGGAACCCCCCTAATAATGGGACGGGTTTATTAATCCTGGGTCGACATTACCCGCAACAAAAGGCACACCGCCAGCCGCCAGATTCCCAAAGTTAGTGGTTTGAAACGTGGGCCAATTTGATTTGCTTCGTTTGTCGAAAGGGGGTAAATCACTCAGCCCTGCCAAGCCTTCAATCTGCTTCAATGTCTCACAGCGAAGCGGTGCCTGGGGTATGGGAGGGGGGGAGTTTTTATTTCCAGATCCTGAGCCGTGAGATCATTTGGGCAAAAGCCCACCAAACTCAAACGGAAAACCCCGCAAGAGCCAGCCAGTCTCCCTGTTGCATCCCAAGTAAAGAAGGATGTAAGCCCGAACTTGGACCCTGGCTATGAAAAAAGTCAGCTCAGATGGTTCATTTGAAGCCATCAAAGTCCCAGTTGCCCGGCGCAGTCGCTGAAGATCACCGTTCTAGCATCACATGCACCTTGGTTCAAACAATCAACCCCTACCTATTAAAAAAGGAGCAAAAGAAGAAACAAAAAACTATAGTGACAGGGCATTCTATTGGAAATCCTTGATGTTGGTCGGTGTGTTGCCAATATTCTGTGGAAGTTCGGGCAGCTTGCTACCGAGAAGGAGGCTGTGTAACCAGTCGAGAGTTTCACATGTGTACTCCCTTGACCCCTCTGCGTGAGCTTGAGGCTTTGCGAGGAGGACGGGTTGCACGGTGAATCGATCGGCAACAGACTTCGCGAAGCTTCGGAAGCCGGTCGCGGAAGGCGGTTCCCACGTGAGAAAATGCGGCGGGCGTGTATTTTTGGAGACCTTAGCCCCGGAGACGCGTTTTCGAAACAGGCACTGTGGTATATACAAGTCCAAACTTCTGAGGAAACAACTCCAGTGAGAAGTACTTCAGGCGCCTGAAGACCGTCGTTTGTTTTGTTGGATCTTCTTTCGCTGTCGATCCGAGCACGATCATTTGAGCGCGTGTCATGGGTCCCCTGAACCTGGACACGGGCGGCCTGCATGTATTGGGAGTCTACAGCTCATTCAAGCCATAGTCACAACCATTTTTTGTTGCTTGAGGTTGGTTGGAATGGTCAATGGTGATCAACCCTTTAGTGGCGAGTTTCAGGATTCCGTTGGTGCCACGTTCTCTCCCCATGGCCGCAGGTCTGGGCAGTTTCCCGGATGCGTTCCATGCAGACGTATCTGAGCCATTGGCCAAAAGAGTCCTTCACTTCTTTTTAGTAAAGGTCAGTAAATGGCCGGCCATAAACCCCAACGACGACTTGGACAAGCCCTGAACATCGAATTTTCAACGTGTTGAGCGCTTTGTGTGGCCTGGTCCAAAGGGAGCTCAAAGAAAACCCGCCAAGCGCGAAGGCATGCCAGCCAAGGCTTCGGATCATCCAAGCCCGCGGATTTCAGCAAAGATATTAACCCCCCTATTTGAACCCCGGTAAGCAGCTCCCAGCAATACTGGGGGTCTAGGGCTCACTTAAGCCATGGCCACACTCTTTGTCTGAAGGTAGGAGTGGTCATCCAACCCGGATTTCAGCAACTGCAAGGGGTCCCGGTCCCGAACTGTTCCACTTTTTTGAGCACCTGGAGTCTCCTTCTGACCCTTAAAAAATGGGGTCATTACCCAAAATTAAGGGGTCATGGACCCATTTTATTTGGGTCATGGAGACTCTAGGCAGTTTCTTCAAAATCGAAATCCGTTCGAAGACAGCTCGTTTTTTTTTCTCCCCAACAGGGCAGGTCTGGGTGTCGGGACTTGGTTCGGAGTTGCGACTAGAAAAATTCGGGACATCTGCGTTTACACCTAACTGCGAAGGCTATTAGCCGCAAAGACGATTTGGAAAATTGTCCCCGGGATCGCCAGTTGCTGTTTTCTTCCCATGCACTTTACCCCAAGAACCAGCAACCTCATTTGTCAGGCTATGACTCCGGCCCACCATTTTTTGAGCAGGACAAGCGGGAGCGGTCCCGTTCCGACACCGCGAGTACCGCCAGCTCTGACGGATCCTTCCACGCGGAACACGCAGGGGCGCCCGGGAATTTCACAGAGGGCTAGGTCCAGTTTCATGCGGTTTCGGGTGGGTCCTCAAAGTCTTTCCTTTCGGGCTGGGTTTGAGTCACTCCAGAAAAAGGCAAGATGGAGCTTGAAACCAGTCCGAGAAGGGGAGTAGCTCGCGAATGTGGTGGGTTTCAGTCACAATTTGTGGGACCGACCAGAATTCGATTTAGGAGCCCAGTAGGTAGCCACCGGCCTTTGACCTGCACCCGACATGTTCCTCGGGCCACACGATCAAGTCGTCCAGTGCCTTGCTTCCTTTTTCGGCTTCCCTTTCAGCTCGGAGAAGCCGAATGCCGCTTCCCATGGGAAATCCACGGGTTCGGGTTTCGTGAGCCCATTTCATGCCACAAAAATGGGGCGCGGGACAACTAGGCGAAGACTTCTCCTCGCCTGAGGCTTTTTTTTGGGTGTCCCGTCGTGAGTCACGAAAGTCCAAGCTCCGCCCAGGCGCGCTCGATGTGTCTGAGCCCGGCAACCCCCTGTTCCCAGAAACATAGACCCAAGTTTTGGAGGACACCAGCAGGGGGGCAGGGGTTGGGCTGATGAGCCATGCGTGGTTATCCTGTTCTAGTTGCTCTTGGGAACATGAGTATTTTTTATTTTCCTACCGAGACCTCTGGTAAGGGATCCCGAGTTGTTCCTTGGCAGTTTTGTGCTTGGCTTTTTTGGTTCAGTGGCATCCACTCCATAGTCAGATTTTGAGGGGATCTGATCCAGCTAGTTCCTTTGAGACCATTTTCAAGGTGAGTTCTAAGGAGAAACCAAAAGGAAGCCACCGATGTTGGGGTTTCCCTATATTGACGCATACCCTTGATCAAAGCAAATCGACCTCCACGCAATTCAACAGAGCACGCTCCTCGTTTTGTGCTTCCCTTTCAGGCGTTCCTTGGCATTGTCGTTCGCAGTTGCATGATTTGACTCGTGATGCTCAGAAAAAGCCAACCAGGCGTCATCTTGCAAGTAAACATGGAGCCGGGTATTGTTCTACGGGTTGATTCCTCGTTCTTTTCAACCATCGTTCTTTTCCAAAACCGGCTGTTTCCCCTGGGTGTTTGATGGTTTCCTGAAAAGAAGGATCCCTGGAAAGAATGGAGCAGGTACCCCTAGAATTGTACGTAAATATGACAGAGAGTGTATGAGGGGGTTTTGACTT